TGTATATACTTTTTTGCATATCCATTCATCCGTTGATGGACACTTGGGTTGCTTCAACATTTTAGCTATTGTGAATAATGCTACTATGAACATGCTGTACAAATACTCTTCCAGATCTTGCTTTCAATTCTTTTGGATATATAACCAGAAGTGGAATTGTTGGAACATGCTGTTTCCCACAGCAGTTTCATCATTCTACATTCCCACCAAGAGAGCATAAGAGTCCCAATTTCTCCAGATCTTTACCTGCACTTGTTTTCTGGACTTCCTTCCTCCCTTCTTTCCTTCCTTCCTTGTAGCCATCCTAATGGGTGTGAGGTGGTATTTCTTTGCACTTTTGATTTACATTTTCCTAATGATTACTGATGTTGAACATTTCTTCATGTGCTTATTGGCCAGTTGTATAATCATTTTTTGGAGAAATGTCTGAATCCTTTGTCCACTTCTGAATTGGGTTTTTGTTTTTGTGTTGTTGAGTTTTGGGAATTCTCTATATATTCTATTAATCCTGTATCAGATACATGATTAGCAAATATTTTCTCCCATTCTCTGGGTTGCCATTTTACTCTGTGGATAAGTGTCTTTGATGCACACATTTTAAAACATTTTCATGTAGTGCAATCTATTTTTGTTGTTGTTGTTACCTGTGCCTTTGGTGTCATATCCAAGAAAACACTGCCAAATCCAATGTCATAAAGTTTTGTCCTATGTCTTTTTCTAAGATTTGTATTGTGTTAAGGCTTATGTTTAGGTTCTTGATCCAACTTGAGTTAATTTTTGTATATGGAGTTTGGTAAAAGTCCAACTTCATCCTTTTGCGTGTGGATATCCAGTTTTCCCAGCATCATTTGTTGCAAAGAATGTCCCTTCCCTATTGACTGGTCTTGGCACCCTTGTAAAAATTCATTTGACCATATATGTGAGGGCTTATTTTCAGACTCTCTATTCTATTCCATTCGTCTTTATACCTGTCTTTATGCCAATGCCACACTCTTTTGATTTAGCTTGGTAGCAAGTTGTTCAATCAGGAGTGTGAGTCCTCCAGTTTTGTTCTTCTTTTTCAAGTTTGCTTTTGCTATTTGGGGTCCCTTGAGATTTTATATGAATTTTAGGGCAGTTTTTTTTTTCTATTTCTGCAAAAGTGTCATGGGGTTTTTCATAGCAATCACATTCAATCTGTAGATCGTTTTGGGTAGTATTGGCATTTTAACAAGATTAAGTCTTGCAAACCATTAACATGGGATGTATTTCAATTTATTTATGTCTTCTTTTATTTCTTTCAGTGGCATTTTGTAGTTTTCATACAAGTCTTTTACCTCCTTAAGTTAATTCCTAAGTATTTTACTCTTTTTTTGGATGCTATAGTGAATGCAATTGTTTTGTAAGTTTCTTTTTAGATTGATCATTGTTAGTGTATAGAAATGCCATTGATTTTTCTGTGTTGACCTGTGTCCTCCTACTTTGCTGAATTTTTTTCATTGTAACAGTTTTTTTTTTTTTCCCCAGAATCTTCAGAGTTTACTACATATAAGATCATATCATTTGCAAACAGAGGAAAATTTACCTCTTTCTTTCCAGTTTGTATGGCTTTTGTGTCTTTTTCTTGCCAAGTTACTCTGGCTTGAACTTTCAGTGCTACATTGAATAGAAGTGGTGAAAGCATGCATCCTTGCCTTGTTTCTAATCTTAGAGAAAAAGCTTTCAGTCTCTCACCACTGAGCATAATGTTCATTCTAGTTTTTTTCATATATGACTTTTATTATGTTGAAGTCATTTCCTTCTATTCCTAGTTTGTTGAGTGTTTTTATCATGAAAGGATGCTGCATTTTGTCAAGTGCCTTTTCTGCATCAATTGAGATGACCATGTGTGGTTTTTTTTCTCTTCATTCTGTTGATATGGCATATTACATTGATTGATTTTCATATGTTGAACCACCCTTGCATTCCAGGAATAAATCCCACTTGGTTATGGTGGATAATCCTTTCAATATGCTGGTGAATTATGCTTGCTAGTATTTTGTTAAGCATTTTTGCAACATTGTTGATAAGAGATAAGGATCTGTAGATCTCTTGTGTTGTCTCTGTCTGGCTTTGGTATCAGGGTAATGCAGGCCTTACAGAATGAGTTAGGAAGTATTCCCTCCTCTTCACTTTTTGGGAAAAGGTTAAGACAGATTTGGTATTAGTTCTTTAAAAGTTTGGTCAGTGAACAATCAGGTTCAGGGCTTTTCTTTGATGGGAGACATTTGATTACTGATTCAATCTCTGACTAGTTATAGGTCTATTTGGATTTTCTGTTTCTTCATGATTTAGTCTTGGGAGGTTTTATGTTTCTAGAAATTTATTCAAGACTGCCACCGTATTTGTCCGATTTTTAAAATTTCACATACATCACGATCACTTCCCATTCCATAAAATATCCTGTGGAAGCATGACTGTAAGTGGCTGCGTAATACTCCATCCCACAAGTACGTCACACATTATCTAACCTTCTTCCTGTTGCTGAATGTAGGCTGATTTCAACTGTTTGTCTGCAACGAATATCCTCATTCTGTGCACACATCTCTTCTTAGTTCCTTAGGATATATTCCTTGGTGTAGAGTTCCTGGATCATTGGGTCTGTAAGCATTATTTCCTGCTCTGACCAAATCTTTTGAGATGATGCCAAAGAGGAAATTAGGCTCAAAGTCTAAGCTACCAGTTGAGCAATGAGAACAATTTATTTAGAAAGTTTTCTTGTCAGTATCTTATTACTCGTTCTATTTATCCAGTTAGTTATCTGCTTAATAGATAGAAAATTATAGATATAAATATAATTAGCTTTAATAGCAATAAATCTTAAATACAACTTTACAGTAGTTTTTATTCTTATGTTCAGTACTCATATGTGAATTCACGAACATTATTTAAAATGTGATAAGAACTAGTCATAAACATCATAATCAAAACATTCATTTATTGAAAATTTGATCTATACCGGACATAGTGCTAAGCCCTTTATATGCATAATCTCATTAACAAATGCCCTAACAGGTGGATGTAAGGAGCTCTAGTTTACAGAGGAGCAACCAGAGTCATTGAGAAGTCCAACCTGACAGCCTCTCCAGAAGCTAGAACAGACACCTAAGCCTAGGTATTTCTTTAACATTCATTTAGTGCTCACTACAAAGCAATGAATGTTCTAAGCTATAAAAATGAGGATTTTTACAAATGACAAAACAAAGACCCTGAGAGGTTTGTTATCTGTCCAATGGAACATAGCTAATAAATGGTGGACCCAGGCTCAGACGAATTCTGGATATCCTACGCTTAGGAGTTCTCCCTCTCTGATCTGCTGCAATTGCACATGAAGTGCAAAGGAGGGAAAGGAGCCACGTTGGGCTAAGCAATTAAGAAGACTTTTTTTTCTCTGACTGACAATAGACCAGGCCGCCTGAGCAGAGAAAAGGCTGGACTTTGGGCTCCCACCTGGTCCCCCTCCACCAGTAGTACCTTATTGTGGGAAACAGTGTGTCCAACCCAGAAGCTGGCACCAGCTCCATCTCTCTCTCTCTCACCCTCAGGACCACAGTCATCTTTTCACATCAGTGTGGCATTTTCTGGTCACACTAACTGGGTAGTCCGATTCTCAGGAGACCTGGTTTCTTGTGCTTCTGTCACTGACGATAGGATTTGACCTCACGGAAACTCAAGGTGCAAAGACGCATTTGGCACCTGCTGCGATCCTGGGCGGTTGGTGGTCAGTAGGCGCCAGTTTGCCAAACCTGTTGGCAATCATTCAGCTGCTGCTCCTGCTGACTCACCACAAGCCCCCTCTAGGTGCCCACTGGCATTTCTGGAAACATAATCAGACCCAGACCTAAGGCACCTTCCTGCCTGCGGCCCACGGGCTGCTGTGTTGCCCCGCACCAGGCGCACTCAGCCACAACTTTGAAAGGTCAGCCTGTCTCGGAGTCGCGGCCTTAACTTGAGATAACGTGGACATTTCACTCGTCTGGCAGATAGTTTTAGTCCTTTGTCCAACTTTTGAAAGAATGGAATTTTGGAAATGTTTCGCCTTAGACGTTTAGCATTCCTAGGCTGATTCACTACCCCGGTGAGCCCGTGGTTTCCCCGCTGCACTGATTACGGTAAAAACAGCAGTCATTCTGGGAATTTGTTCAGGTTTTTTCCCAAATCCACTGAGCCTCGCCTCCGACACCACGGCTCTCCGGCGAGTCCAGGCACCAGGTGCTCCGGTCTGGTTAGGCCCCCCGTAGGCCGCCTGGCGGAGTCTGGACGCAGTCCAGGTCCCTACCCGGTTCCTGGGTTCTTTCTACCTAACACATAGACTGACCTGTTCTGCGACGCGTTTCCTTTCCTTTTTTATAGACTTTTCTTTCTGACAGTTAAGAGTAGTGCTCAGGTAGAGATTTAGGAAATTAAAGAGTCAGAAGTTTCCAAACACGCTGAGGTCACTTTAAGAATTCAAAGGACACGAGACACCTGCCGGGGTGGGGTGGGGGGCGAGCCCGTGAGCCGCTCTGCCCTCCCCCTATCCGGAAATGCCAGCGTCCAACGAGGACCCGAGGCACTCCCAGGCTGGGAGGAGGCGGTGGATACCTGGATCTGAACCAACTCGGTCCCTCCCCGTTCCTCTGCCCAGTGGCGCAGACTGGCCCTCCCAGCTCCGGAGCGCCGGTCTCCGCGCGCAGCCCCCTGGGGGCAGGTCCGCCCGCAGTCCTCCCGGCTACCAGCTGCCCGGAGCCAGTGTGGGCGGGGGCGGGGACCGGGAACAGGGCGCGCGGTGAGGGGCGGGGGCGGGAACAGGCGGGGAGGAGCCGGCGGGGCGGGGACCCAGGCAACTAGCCAATCCGCGCGGACTCGGGTTCGCCCAGGCTCCCGACTGGCCGGCGGGAACTGGGGAGCCGCTCCCCACCCCTCGCGGACTTCGGAATTGGCTGGAGGCCTGACGGGCGCCGCGGCCGCAGCGCGTTTCCGCAGTTTGTCGAGCCCCGAGGATGCGCGCCCTGCCAGCCCTGGACGCGCCCCCGAGCGAGCGCCTCCTGTCCCGGGACTCCGGGGCCCCCCGGGCCCGGGACGCGGCGGGGCCGACGCGCAGGAGCGCGGTGGAAAGGCTGGCAGCCGACCGCTCCAAGTACGTGCGGGGCCCGCCGGGAGCCGGCCCAGGCCCGGCTGGCGAGGGCAGCGGCCCCGGGGCGAGCGAAGGGCAGGCG